ATAATAATAATAATAATAATAATAATAATAATAATAATAATAATAATGTCCCCATTATTCCAATTTTCTCATCTGAGTCAAGCCTTTGGAAACAGATTGTCTCACCTTGCAACAGTCCCATAAGAAAGCGTGTGAAGGTCATCAGAGTCAGGTGGGCAGAGCTTGAGGAAATGAGGAGGGGCGTGATGGCGGTGATGGATCCCCAGGCCGAGGCAGAGAGGAGAAGGACTTTCTCACCTCCTATCCTGAAAGACAATGAGGACATCCATCAGCAAGAGCATTTTCTGCACACCAAAATTCCTTGTTGACCCTTCCTTCAGGCCAGGAGTCTCCTAAACCTGGCCACTTTAAGACTTGTGGACTTCAACTCCCAGAATTCAATGGATGGCTAGGGAGTAGAATTCTGGGAGTTGAAGTCCAGCAGTCTCAAAGTGGCCAGGTTTGGAGACCCCTGGTTTAATGCAAGAAGCGGAGGTTGAAAACAGGAACTACTGGGCCTGACGCAAGGTGCGTGAAGCTTCTTGGATGAGAAGCGAAACGTCTTCAAACAAAAAACAGAAAGTCCCGTTGCCTCTTGAAAAAAGCACCTTTGGGACAAGCATGGCTTGGAGGGCTGATAATTTCCACAGACAAGGTGCATGTACCAAAATCCTTGCAGAAGGAATCAATGTTTCCTATGCCTGCAGTGGTTTAAGCACGGGATCAATCCTTCCAAAAGGAAAAATTGCTTTTATTTTATGTGCCATTCCACCTACAGGGTTATTCTTTTTTAAAGAAACAAGGTTTATCTCTTCAAGAGACAGTTGTGATGCACGGATATTATACAGAATATTTGGTGTCTGGCCTGCAGTGGAACTGCATATCTGAAAGCATTCAAAAGTCGACTTCAATAAACCAAAGGTGCTTTTTCCAAAAGGCAATTGAACTTTCTTGGTAGCTGTTTTTCCCCCCTTTGAAAACATTTTTCTTCTTGCCTAAGAAGCTTTTTCACTTCAGAACTTTTTCAAAGGAGAAAAAAACCTAAGAAGTCCAGTTGCCTTTTGGGACCTGGTTGATTGAGATTCTCCATAGACGTTTGGCTTCAGTGAGATAAATATGTCATTGTTTTGTAATGGGCTGCTTTGAATGCTCAACAGATGGAAAAGAAGGATCGATCAAATAAATAAGATGATGGCCCCAAAGATGACAAAGAAACAATGAAAGAGAATCTGAATTCTTATCAAAAATGCAAATTCATCCACGTTTCATTGAAAGGCGAGTGGCACATCCTTATTCCTGGTCATTAATGAATGACAGAGTATTATTTTTTTAGCGATTGTTGAATAATGATAAAACAAATAAATAAGTTTCTTTGGTGCCAAAGCTTTGCTAAGGCCATTTAATGCAGGGGTGTCAAACTCACGGGGTGCTTAGATCTGGCCTGTGGGCCTGCCCTGGAAACAGAGAAGGACCGGTTGGTGGTGCCTCTGCCAGCAAAAATGGAGCTTGGGAGGGCCACGCTCTGGGGTGGGATGCTACCGGTTCATGCACGTGCAAAACGTAGTCACCGAACCAGTAGTAACACTGGTTGAATCCCACCCCTGGCAGTGCCTTCCGGAGCTCCTTTTTTGCTGGCAGAAGATTGCAGGAGGCTGTTGCAGCCAGGGGTGGGTTTCAAAAATCCCAACAACCGGTTCTCCGCCTGGTTGCTGGATGGGCGTGGCCATGGTGGGCGTGCCCTACTGGAACGTCTGGGAGGACCATTTTTCGGCTCCCCCAGAGTCCGGAGGCTTCCCTCGGGTCTCTGGGAGGGCGAAAACGGGCTCCCCCGGGCTCCGGAGGCCCCCCAGAAGCCGGAAAGAGGCCTGTTTCCAGACTTCCAGAACTTCTGGTTCAGCCTGGTTTTCGCCCACCCAGAAACTCCGCGCAGACCCTGCCTTGACCTGCATCCAAAACGAGCCATGTGGAGAATCCGGGGAGGGGAGGGGTGGGCGAGGCCAGCCAATCGGTTCAACTACCAGTTTGGCGAACCAGATGTAAATTTAACCTCTGGCCTGAACCGGCAGAATCCCACCCCTGGTTACAGCCGAAAACAGAGCTCAGGAGCCCATTTTCACTGACAAAGCACTCTGGCCATCACAGGCACCACCGACATGAGTGACATCGAGGTGGCTATGCCCCCTTTGACATGCCCCCTTCCCCCCCCCCAGTTCAAACCCAATCTTGATGCGGCCCTCAATGAATCCGAGTTTGACACCCCTGGGTTAATGTAATATCATCCATACCGGTCACTCAAGTGGCCTCCAACAATTTGAGTAAGGCAGTAACCCCAAAAGAAGCTGCTCAACACAATTCCGGACTGCTTCTTGTCCCAGTCAAAGCGGGAGCTCATGGTGACCACACAGATGGGCATTAGGACCCTGGCGCAGTAAAGCAGGCAGGTTCCCAGCAGCAGCATTGTGGTCCATAATCGGGATTCAGGCCTGTAAAATATCAGAAGACAGAGAATATTAGCATGTTATTTATTTAGGTACCTCAGTAAAATAGTCTAGTCCTTTAAAAAACCCTACGTCCTATAAAACGGGTGACAAACTCAAGGCCTGTGGGCCAGATCTGGCCTGTGGGGTGCTTAGATCTGGTCCGGGACGGGGAGCTCTGGGGACAGTGGACCAGCCTGCGATCCACTGATTAAGACATGATCCTTCAGGACATAATAGGATTAGCCCATTAAGACACAGAGCTCACTACATTGTACAATCTCCTAAGGACATTGCATCACCCTCAGAAACTTCAACCAAATTTAGCTCAGACAAGCTATAGAGCAGTGGTGGCTAACCTTTTTGGGCTCCGGTGCCAAAAATTGTGCATGCACTTGCACACTCGTACTCGCGTGCCAGCACCCAGCAACGCGCCTCTATCCCACATCCCCTACATATGCGCGTGCAATCCTCACCCCCACTCTGCCACTCCCTTATCTGTACTGCGCCTCACAGCTGATTTTTGGCCGGTTTGAGGCCTTTTTCAGCCTCCCAGAGGCTTCAGGAAGACTTCTGCAGTCTTTTCAGGCCAACTAGGCCCATTTCATCACTTCTGGTATCTCTTGAAAAAAGGAAGCGATGAAACGGGCCTAGTTGAAAAGCCTGCAGAAGCCTTCCTGAAGCTTCTGGGAGGCCGAAAAAGGCCTCAAACCAGCCGAAAATCAGCTGAGAGGTGCAGGCATGTGCAGTGAGGTAAGTTTGCTTGCAGCTTGCATGCCGGCATAAATGGCTCTGCGTGCCACCTGTGGCACGCGTGCCGTAGGTTCGCCATCATGGCTATAGAACCAGCTATGACCCCTACATAACCCCTATATGGCCCCCATGGGAGTCTGACAACAATACATTTTCTTGCATAGGAACAGGAAGATTAAGTGCAAAGCCCAAGAGAAGTATAAAAACCACTCTCAACTCCATGTGATCAGCTGCACCAGAACCAGGAGTGAGCTGCTACCAGTTCTCCTCAGTTCGGGCAAACCGCTATCTAATTTTATGGCCGGTTCGGTGAACCGGCAAATCCCACCCCTGGCTGGCCCCACCCACCCTGCCCTGTCCCTTCCAGGAGTCAACACGCAGCCTGTTTTTGATGCCAGGTAGGTTCAGGGCCCATGCAGAGAGTTGGGAAAGGCAAAAAATGGGCCTCCTGGAAGTTCTGGAAGGCCGGAAACGGGCCTCAGGAGCACAGTGGAGGCCATTTTCACTTTCCCAGAAGCTCAAGGAAAGCCTCCGGAGCCTGGGGAGGCGGACTAGACCATACCCACCATAGCCATGCCTACCCAGCAACTGGGCAGAGAACCGGTTGCTAAAATTTTTGGAGCCCACCCCTGACCAGAACCATGTGCTTGGTGGTTCTGCTTCCTCATTAAACCATCTTCCCAATCAGCCTCCGTGTTTCCAGTGTCTTTCTCTCAGCTTGGAACGGAACCAGATGGATATTTCTTCCCACACATCTATTTTAGGGACTACCACCAACTTTCTCTGAACATCACTTCCAAAAGTCATTGTCATGGCTATCTTCCGTTTTAAAGAGAAAAATACAAAACTCTCCTACAAGTGGTAAAATAGGCTTATCAAATTGTGCGTTTGTGTGTGTGAGAGGTCCTTCTTTTTCTAAAATCAACCAGGATAAAGAAATGACGAATACTGAAAGGCTGCCCATCCCTAGATTACAGCCAGTAAATCACATTTAATAAAGAAATAGAGTTCAGATAGTTATGAACTGTTTGCAAAGTGACTAATTTTACAACCCAAATCTTCTCTTTAAGCATTCCTAAACTCCAACTTCCTTCTTAAGTAGATGCATTTACTAATTGCACTTAATTGCCAACCTATAATTAAGTTAGTGTCACTATCAGGAACCATGAGGCCTCATCTGTAGGACTGATGGGCAGAGAAACAACCTAAATTTATAGTACTTTGACTTCAGAACTCATCTTTTTATTCCTTTTATTGGTTATTACATTTATTTTCATCACAATTACACAACTATTTTCCATTTTGGATCTTGTCCTAACAAACCAAAAGGTACTCCACTGTTTAACAATAAAGATTTTGTTAGAATTCTACTCTAAATTCCAACTCTTCAAAAAAGGAAGTCTTTGACTTACGACCACAATTGAGCCCAATGTTTATGTTGCTAAGTGAGACATTTGTTAAGTGAGTTTTGCCTCATTTTACAACCTTTCTTGTGAGGATTATTAAGTGAAACACTTAAGTTGTTATGTTCGGAACATGGTCGTTAGGTGAATCTGGCTTCCTCCTTGATTTTGTACATCAGAAGGTCACCTTGGGACACTGGAACCGTCATAAATATGAACCACTTGCCAAGCATCTCCATTTTGATCAGGTGAATGTGGGAATGCTGCAACGGTTATAAGTGTGAAAATAAGTCACTTTTTTTTCCAGTTATGTTGTAACTTTGAATGGTCATTAGAGGAACTGTTGCCCTGCCCAATTTTTTTCCCTTCAGCTTTAAACAATGGCAATGAAACTCAGCCAATACGTTTTATAGGGTTAACTCTGCTTGCAATTCAAATATTTGCTTCCTGCTTGCAGTGTGGAAAGAAGGTGTAATCCACCACAGGGCACTTACTTGTGATGGTGAACCTATGGCACACGTGCCGGAAGAGGCACACAGAGCCATTTCTGCCGGCACACAAGCCGTTGCCCAGATCAGGTTCACTGTGTATGTGCGCACGCACTTCCCGCCAGCCAGCTGACTGTCGGGTATCTGATGCGCATGCGTGGGGGGAGGGGTGCGCATGGGGGTTCACGTGTGCATGCGCAGGAGCGGGGGAAGTGTCGGGGGGTCACACGTGCATGCGTAGGGGGCTGGGGGGCATGCACACATTGCATTATGGGTGCAGGCATATTTGCATCCAAACCACCCCGCAAGTAGGAGACTCTACACCAGTGGTCCCCAACCTTTTTTGTACCATGGCCCGGTACAAAATGATCCACGGACTGGTACCGGCATCAGCACGCACGACCAAGGCAAGGCACGCCAAGCGACCGGCCAGCCAGCCGTCCCCCGCTTCTCCCTGCCACCTTCAACTCCTCCTTTGTACCTTCTCACGATCGATGGGCTTTTTGAGCTCTTTCTTAATCTCCTCCTGAGTAACGCGAGACTCCACCGCCATCAGGACGGCTCTTCGTTCGAAGCTGCCCTCCCCCCTTCGACGAAACTAAGGCGCGAGGATTCCTTCGGCACCCAAATGCCACTTTCCAACTGACGACCGACAAGCTCACCCGGAAGCACTTTCTCAAGCGCCGTCGAAACAAGATGGCGGCGCCCAAGTACTGGCGGCCTGATACAAAATGATCCACGGACCGGTACCAGTCCGGGCCCAGTGGTTGGGGACCACTGCCCTACACCATTTCTGACAAATGGCAGTCCAATCTCTTCTTGAAAGCCTCCAGTGATGAATCTCCCACAACTTCGAAGGCAACTTCTGTTCCATGGGTTGAATGTTCTCCCTGTCAAAAAATTTCTCCTTATTTCTAGGAACCTCTCCTTGTTCAGTTTCCATTATTCCTTGTTTGGCCTTCAGGTGCCTTGGAGAACAGTTTGATCCCCTCCTCTCTGTGGCAGCCCCTCAAATATTGGAACCCCGCTATCATGGTCCTTCTCTTCACTACAGTAGCCATGCCCAGTTCCTGTCACCTTCCTTGCAACCTAGGGCAGTCCTGATGTCACTAATACTAGAGGTAGTCCTTGACTTACAGAGCTTCTTTAAGTGATTGTTGAAAGTTACATACAACGGCACTGAAAAAAATGACTTACGACCATTTTTCACACTTACGACTGTTGCAAAAAAACCACGGTCTCATGGTCAAAATTCAGATGCTTGGCAACTAATTTCATATTTGTGACGGTTACACTGTCCTGGGGTCACAAGATCCCCTTTTGCGACCTTCTGATATGCCAGATCCACTTAGCCATCAGGTAACTAATTCACCAATTCACTTAACCACTGTGGCCAGAAAGGTCGTAAGCCGAGTACGAACCTGAACAGGAAAGACTTCGATTCAACTCTACTCTAAATTCCAACTCTTAAATAATAGAATGCAAAATTTACTGCCCTACATTTATTTTCCTTGAGTTTTGAACAACGGCACCAAAACTTGGCAAATATGTTTTATAGGATTAAACCTACTTGCAATTCAAATATTAGCTTCCTCCTTGCACTGTTGAAAGAATGCGTAATCCATAACACAACAGTGTTTAACAACCTTGGCAGCTTTAAGCTGTGTGGACTTCAACTCCCAGTATTCCCCAGCCTTACTTACACAAGCTAGGGCAGTCTAGATGTCGCTATACTACATACAACTCTCATCATCCATCACCACTTGCCCTAGCTAAGGAAGATGGGATCTGGAGTCCAGAGGATCCCATTCTATCCATTCCTAGCCTTTGGGGCTGAGGGGGGGAAGATTGCAGATTTCCCCAAGCTGATGCCTTCCGGCCATTTTGTGCATTCCAAGCCAAGATGGCTGCCACTGTGCAAGCAAGGAATTCTGGGAGATTGAGAACAAAACATCTGGAAAGCACAGCTGGGAAGGCCTAGATAGTCATAAAAAGACCAAACCAGCCTGCAATCACCTCTGACAACCTTACAAAGTGAACATGTCCACTTTTATTCTTTTCCCACTACCTCTTTTGCTTAGAAACATCCAGGCCAAGGATTCAAAAAAACCCAAAAAACAATTTGCCATTTGGTGCCATTTTGATGCACTTCTCAAACCCTCTGAGTTCCGTTCATTCTTCCCCAATTTGGGCACATGCGTGTGGTCTTAGCTCCCAGAATTCCCCAGCACTCCTGGATGACGCTAAGTATTCTGGGACTTGAAGTCCTGGAAATCAACCTGGCCAGGAAAGGCTGGCTGATCTACTTAGACTACGAGGTCTTAAAGTAAATGTGATGTTTGTCTGCTATGATAGCAGCCAT